ACACATTAATCATAGTAGCACTCGACTTTCACGCGTACATATACACGAGTGTATGTGTACGTGAATTTTTTACCTAGAGCTCACATCATAAATCCATATACACTTCACAACCGATGCTCTTCTATGTGGAAAAAAATAGTTTCCAACACTTAGTGAATAGGCAGGTAGGCAGGTACTGCCTCGGGATTTACAACACATTTAAGAAGGAATAATATAACTCAAACGTTGGATTGCTGTGGAAATAATATGAAAATCCTTCCCCGCAGTGAAAACTACGATTTTTTTGTTATTATTATACTGTCGACGTGGATAATGACCGTTGTTGTGCCGTACGCCCATACCTATCCAACATTTAATGATAAAAGTTATAATACTTATTATAATAATATACGAGCAGTATCTTTAATATGCGCCAACGTGTAAGCAAATTCTACGAAAAACGTTGTTCGTAGAGAAAAATGTCTATAGACTATGGAGTAGGTACCTGCTGTAAGTATTATATTGTTATTATCAGTCTTACAAAGTTATCTCAAAAGTATATTATAAATATTACACCGATGTATGGCATTTTTAACGGTGCACATTGTCACACAAATTTTGATCTTCTATGATCGTACTAGAATTTCTCACATTGAGGTTTTCAAATTGATGTATTTACCTACGTAACAAAGTACCGCCTATTGCGTGCTCGTGCATCTGTTCCCCGGGTTTTCATCGCAACTTCATTAAAGTAGGATAAGATCTGTGCACGATGAATTTGGTGTTATTGAGCATTAAAATCAGCGGTCCATAACAGCTTCATCTAGTTTTAAATAGTTGAGAATGTAATAATCAGTGAACAATTTTATTTTTAATCGTTATAGTCGATAGTATAATGTGTAATAAATGCTATGAATTAAATCCAATGACTAAAATCACGATATGTAGAACGGAATGGGGATGAATGTTGCTAATCGCATAATCTCATTAAAATATTTTATTGGTAGGTAGATACATTGTTTTATCGTTATTTGTATTACTTCAATATACCTATAGATACTCATGGCTTTTGCATACAAACATGTATTGCATTTTTTACGACAACATAGACTTGCATTACACTACAAGGCATGTAGTATAGGTACTAGGTAGATATGTGTAATAAATTAATTTAATCGGAAACTGACAACATTGTTTCTTTGAATGTCAATAATTAATTTTATATTATTTATAACTCGTGAGACAAAATTCATCGAATTGAAACTTGACGTGAAAATCGTGAAAATACTTCAAACACAATAATGTATTATATTCTACTGTCTAGTCAATGTATATCATATATTATTACCGAGAATCAATTCATACTATTATTATTTGTTACATTAACGTTGATCATATTACGTTAGTTGATAATAATAATAATACCTATATAATACGATAAAATCGTATAAACAAACTATAATTTAATAATGTGTTTACTTGTCGGGGTTAATGTTACTTAATACTATATAATATAACATGATTATATTTTTTTTTTAAGAGAGAGAGAGAGAGAGAGAGAGAGAGATAAGGCTTCAACATCTTAGATCATTAGTCTGAAGAAGGTTTTTATTGTGGAGAAGGGTAAGGTAGATTTGGAACACCTGTATATGGGACGAGTCGTCATTAAAATCTGGGGTGGTCACCCATCTGAGAGCTGGAGATGCTGGCCAATGCTTGATCTCAGAACACGTTAGTGACTGTGACCAACCGCCGTTCTACATTAGAAACAAAATGTTTATTAGTAGTATATCATTATTATTTGATCAAACATTATAATTGAAATAAGGAAGTACTCAATATTGTACGCTCACTATGTATTACTATTATGTACAATATATAACGTTATAATGTTTTTAATCATACACGTTCACTACTATTAAATTAATAATACAATTTCGGTGCGAAACCGCAGCAGGGTCGGTATGGGGGGTTAACGCCAACGCCCGGGCTCTTGGTCTTTTTACGTTGACGGGTTTCGATGAATAATAGTTTCCTTATAATAATAATAATAATGATAGATAATATTTTCATGGTTTGATCACGCTGTACAATGGACAACGATAAGTTTATTATTGAAGTGGATTCCAATGTACATTTTAAACAGCGATTATAATTTTCCCTTACATTGGTATCAAATACCTGCAGTGTAATTGTATTTATTTTCGGTCGTTTAATAATAATATTGTATTACTATGAACCTCAACCCGACAGTTATAATCACTGTACATAGTGACTAATTTAGTTCAAATTATTTAAGTTATATTCGAGTAAAACATATGAAAATGTCATGTCTTAGGCAGCGATGAACGTTCGTAGTGCGCTTGGACGTGTGTTTATAATTACATCTCAAAATGTCGTTTATACCGAGTGTTTCGCCAAGCACTGTCATCCCCCCTTTTTCGAAAAATGATGCATTTGTTTAAAATCGAATTATTGGAATTTTGAAATATAATATACCACCTACCTATCTGAAACCCATATTATATTCAAATGCTTAAGACATTTTCTTGGGACTAAAATGAGTGTCAAATCTTCTGTTTTTAAAACGATCATTACACCCTGCCCCCACTAGTCTATTGTAAGTTATTAGTGGAAAATTTTTCTAAAAACCACGATGTATCCAAATCTAAATTCGAAAAACTAGTTTTTGAATAATTCAAAGTTGTGTTCCGACTAAAATAGGTCCATGCCAATTGATTTGAAAGATTAGGAGCAATTGTGATTTGAATATAATAATTATAATAATAACATATTTTTTATATTGGGCCAAGTAGGTATAAATAGGTATAATAAATATTATATCCAATATGACCTATTATATTTACATGTAAAACCATTTTGAAGCATATTATCTTTATTACAAACAATTTTAATACCAAAGTCAGAAAATTCTCGCTCAAATTTTAAACAAAGCACATAACAATGTTCAACAAAATAATCCAATATATAATTTAAAATAAAAAAGAGGAGTTACCATTTGAAAACAGAAGTTTACATCACCACAGTACATTTTTAAAGTAGTACGAAAAATGTCAAGAATTTTAAAATGTGATTTTTAAGTATAATATATTCAAAAAATTAAAAAACCAGCATTCCTATAAATTCACTATTCAAGCAAAATAGGGAAAAGGAGCAGTTGAACATGTTTGTTGAATCACTATGTATATATTTTATAAATATGTAACTATATATTTATCGTTATGTATAGATATAGAGGTCATACACGCAGGACGCTTCATAGTATGTATATAAAGACGAGAAAAATAATGCTTGTCCTTTGACACTACGCGTTTGTATTTTTTTTTCTCTCCGCTGTTGTTATTATCGTCGTCGCCACTCGTTTTAAACTGTTCTATAAGGATTCCGGAAAAAAAATAATTAAAAAAAAATAAAGGGGTCGGAAAACGATTTTAATTGCTCGAAAACGCATACCTATAATATACGCGCGCATCATAATACATACATATATACATATATATATATACACGCACACATAAAAACATACGTACACACATATACATAAACATACATAGTACAGTATATGTTACATATACGTATATAACGGCTATCAAAGTGTCCTTGTACTTACCTACACCTCTGGTGCAGCGTATATAATGTACCTAATAGGGTCGCGTTTTGCGCCGTAGTCTCCGCCAATTATTTCGCGGTCCACTCCACTCTGCAGTAACAACGCAGAATCGTCGCTCGTCATTTAGGTAGAAGGTGTTTTGTAAATAACTTCATTATGATGATATAACGACGTTATGTTATAATTTTGCGGTCTGGGTATGATCAGATACATCGAACGGTACTCTTAATAATATCAGTAATATCAATAATTAACATTATTTCAATAGTAATAATAATACCTTTTTAAATTTTTTTTTGGTTTATTTTTTTTTTACGACTTCAACATCTAGGGTTATTAGCCAACGTTATTATAGATTTTTTGTCAATATGATAAAAATTAACAACACGGTACTATTTACAATGTTAACAACAATAATTATTATTGCGATTGGCAAATTTGATTTGAGAATAAAATGTTTTTGTTTCAAATATGATAGTTCTGCATACAACTTATCATTTTGTGTTTAAACAATATTTTTTCTCAGCATGAATTATATAGAGTTCCAATACAATTATCAAGTATTAATTATAATTTTTTTTTTAAACCAGTCGTAGTTATTGCTAATAATATTATACAGTTAAAATGGAACCTATGCCAAAATTGTTTTCGATACCTGCAGCTCATAACTTTGGAATTGTATGTGCTAAAAACATATTAATACACATATTATGATGATCATATTATAAAAACTAAAAAATGGGTAAATTAGTCTTAATAATATAATTATATAGTCAAAACGACGACATCCACCTCCCATGTTTAACGAACGTCTTTTTAAGTTTAGATGTTTTCAATTTATAATAATAACATTCAGTCCATCTTCGCACTCCATGGCCTTACGGCACGTCATTATAATATTAAACTGAAGTACCTACCAGTATATATATAAATTTATTATACAAAGCAGGCTGAAATAACAAAACGATTTGCACGTCTTAATTGTTTTGCTCGTAAAACTTCACCAACACCTAGTCAAAAACCTAATTTTGTTGAAAACTTTAAATTAGTTTTTAAACTCGATTCGACGTTTTCTTCAGATTAAATATTTTTTGGTTGAAATGAAAAAAAAAATAACAGAATTTCATAACTAATAACTCTTTTGGGGCTCTGCTCTAAAATGTTGGACTTAAATAATATTATATGACCGTTTTAAACAATAACGTCCGCCGCGAAATAATTGCCTATGGTCCGAACAAAATTATCATAATATATTACTGTATTGTTATTATCTGACGACTGTCGAACTGTGCAGCTTTGATTATATAAAGTGGTTAATTATGCACATATGACGATAAATTCAAAATAAATATTAAAAATAATAATGTTATTAATCGTTGTTACGTTGCAGGTGTCATGGATAAGGCATAGGGATATACACATACTGACGGTGGGCGCTTACACATACACCAGTGACCAGCGGTTCCAGGCCATTCACCATAGGTCACACTCGGACCAATGGACGTTGCACATCAAATGGGCTCAGAAGAGAGACGCTGGAATTTATGAGTGCCAGGTGAGCACGCAACCGGTGAGGAGCATATTCGTCACGCTAAACGTCGTCGGTAAGTATCCCCATCATTTTTATTTGCATATTTTTTAAAGTTTGACTTCGTTATATACGTAATATACGAAGTGTATATACTGCACTCTGGGATATTGCAGAGTTCGTATCACATTTATCATTTCAACAGTCATTTTCTCAATGTAGGTTATTTACGCATGTAAATTCAAGTCTTTTATAGCTACGATATGTTTTTAAAGAAAAAAAGTATTTTTACTATTTTGTTTTATCGCTATTCTGTGTGTTTACTTAATCAACGACTTAAATTGAATATCGAACTGCACTCCATTCATTTATTGTTACTAATTTATGGTAACATTTAACTTAAGGCTGAAGAGCCGAGTATAGTGGCCAATACTGTCCTCATAAAAATATGTTGCAGGTATGCTACTCCACGCACATCTAAACTTTAAACACTAAATTATAAAACAATTTCCTACTGTAGTAGCATGGTTCGAGGTGTAAATTTTGTGTGAATTGATGGTTTGGATTTAATTAATATAGTACGAAGTGATGCATGGGTTATTATGACACTTTCTTTTGAACACAGAACTCCAAATTAATCGTGTGTCCTGTATAATTCACTTCAGATATCTGAGCTGAATCTATAGTAGGTATCTCAACTCCTCGAAATTGAATTTAAGGAAGATTATATTTTTGTCGAAGTATAAATGTAAAGAATTTCAGGGTTAATTATAATTGTCCGCTTAGTTGCCCAGGTTAGGTTATTAATTCGAGATGATTTTAGGGGATCGACTGAAGCTTGAAAAGGGTCTGAGTTGTGGAGAACGGTAAAGCTATCTTCAGCATACTTTACCATAGTCGTGTTTGCTGTCTTAGGAATATCTTATCACCTACGTATATTGTATATTGAATAAATCAGGTTAAAAGTCACTTTTTCGGAGAACACTAACAGAGAAGGCAGGGTAGTAGGAAGATTATTCCTTTTTAGTTGCCTCGTCGAACAGCAAATGTTCGATTTCAGAGAAAAGAACGGGTAAAAAAATAAAAAAAATGTAATCATCTCTTGATTGTGTGAATATAAAAAAAAATGTTTTGATTAATGCATTTTATAAATAGCTTACCGAGATATTGACTGTTGGTGATAAACAAATGACCTCGGGTATACATATTTATACATAAACATAGGCATCATAATATGCATAACAAATTCATTATTTATTTTTATTGTTTAGTTGTGAGTAATATGTTATGGGAAATGTCCACACCGTTCGGCCAATTTAGTAATTCCTATGCAATTTGAACTTCAAATACAAACATTATTTTTTGTGCAACATTTTCTATTCAATTTATTATATTATATAATATTAATGGGAGAACAAACAAAATTAATTAGTTTAGCATTTATTATAATTGTATTACCTACTAGCTACCTACCTATGTATTATAATATTTCGGATCGTATTTAAAACTATTGGTAATTATAATACACCTGATGTGTAAATTTGTAACATTCCCCACTGACCGTAACATATACGTAACGTACATAGTATATTATAGTATAGCTAGGTACCTATTTCTCTTTTGCATAGTCGTTTCGATGATAATAATCGATAGACGTCCACTTCCTCGCCGCATTACATGGCGTGTGAAACACGGCTGTTGTTATATTATGATTATTATTACTATTATTATTATTATTATTATTATTATTATTATTATCTTTGTTGTTTCAACACTTTGGCGATGTCGATATATGCATAATATATATTATCTACCTATACCTACATTTCAGACGATAAACCGCCGCCCTCGGACAGCGACGATAGTTTACTAGACATGATGATAAGAGATGGAGACTTTACAAAAGGTTTTTATACAAACGTGTTTGCGTGTGGTTTGATGTTAACAAACGTTTGCCGAATTAACGCTAATAACACTATTATTATTATTATACAAAACGTTTCGTGTAAACCTGCTCGGAACGGCCGTTTGAAAGTAATTTGTTTTCAGTGATTTTACCGCACTATAATTAGGTATAATAATATGCATTGTTGAATGCTGAAAAAAAAACTATGTTCCTACCTAAATACAACCTACCAACGTTATGCGCAGCGCGTAAAAAGATTAAAAACTACATTATCATGATTATTATTCTTATTATCAAACCAATGCAAAAGACAAAACCTACTCGGGGGTCACTGTCGACCGCGGCACTTATTTATACCAAAAATTAGCATACAGACGACGCGCATTAAAAACAAATCGATTTCGAATATCTATTATTATTTTATAAAGGAACCGATCACCGAACCCCCTCAGAGTACCTAATGTATTATTATTTGGAATTTGAACGCACCACGCGATTCGTATAAACATTTCGGTTTACATTATTCACCAAACGATTTCTAGCAGATGGCGAGATTTTGGAGAAAAATAATCAAAATTTTCTAAAAAAAACAAAAACGCTACAAAAACAACAACATTAGCTGTACAATTAAAACTCTTAAGTCCACGTACGATACGTCGTAGTGTGCCATACAATATAAATTAAGTTTATTTGCGTTTACCGTTTAACTTTTAAAATGAACTCATGTCAGCTAGCGTGGAAATGAAACTCTATTAATTTTTGTTTTGCAAACTCAGGATTTTAAAGTTTTTTTTTTTTTGATTTACGATGAACACATTTGATTTTAAATCGTTTTAAAATAGTTACTTAAACCGTATACCATTAGACAACACGCAAATCATAAACTTCACACGAAATCACTATTTAATATTTTGACACGTCATCACACACATGATTTTGCAGACACCAGACACATGGTCTCCGGGCCTATGGTTTTTAAAAATCGCTCATGTATTTTAGCCAAATTCAAAATATGTGTAATATATTAATATTGCGTAACAACATTACGTATAATTGTATTTTGTAACCAAAAGGCGTTAGAAATATATATAAGGTACAATTCAATTATCAGACCGCTCGGCCAGAAATCTAAAATAATATTAATATATGCCACTGCAATTAAACGCGTTGTTATATCAAATACACAATGTGCACAGTTCATTGAAATGAACGTTGCATTATACGCATCAAATATTTGTATTTTGCCGTTTTGCACGCATGAACTACAACTTTGTGTACAATAACGTTTCGTTATAATTATTATATTAATAACAACATAAATTCGTATGAATATTTTCTTGAAATTTGTTTGCATAATTTTGAATAACAATTATTGCGTCTATGTGTAACCAAAACACTATAAATTTCCATAGCTTCGTTGGCCAAATACTTCATGATATTATTACACGTCTTACGCATCGATAAATCCTAAACGCTTATAAACAATTTGTAATAAACAATAATATACACTTGGCAAGCGTTCACATTATATAGTATTTGCTTTTCGTGAAAGTTATATTATTATTTTATTATTCTAACTAAAACGTAAATGTTGGAAAACAGTTCTGATTTCGCAAGGACCGTTTAAGAAGGAGCTGATTTCAAAACGTTTAAAGCTCGTATAATCATGACCTTTTAGTGATTCGAAGAATCCAGAAATAATGTTCAGTGAAAATCCTTTCAAAACTAAAGGAAAATACGGTAAAGATTTCACAGAAATCCCATAACGTGTAGACCAATATCGAACTCTGCAGACAGTTGAAACTATTTGAACGACCAACAAATCCTAATCATTACGTTTTGGCGTTTGCTACTTATTTTGCAGCAATATGCAGGTCAGTCGGACTTTGATATAACTTGTCAGTAAGTTGTAGATAGAAAATACCGAAGATAATTGTCGACTGTCGAGCCAATACAGGTGGCTATTGAGACTAATCACAAAAAAATGTGTACGAGCTTATATATTATATATTATATATTGATGGCAAGTCAGAGTAAACAAAATTAAATATAATTATAAATATTTGAAAATATTTGAAAATATACAAACAGTGTAGTGGTAAAATAAAATATTTTTAGTTGAACCTGCTCCAGAAAATATAACATGTACGATGTACTTACGTATAGATTAATCGCATGTAATTAAATTAACACATTACATAACTGTAATAACCTTAGCAGTTCAGGCGGATAAATAAATAATAATAAAAAAATATATTTTTTCAAAATTATAAATAATAACTAGCTATACGCAAAGTTTTGAAATAGCTGTTATTAAACTATACCTACATATATTATATCATGAGAATAATCCAAAATGCATACTACGTATATGGTCATTCCACCGACTGCATATACTACAAACAACGTGACGTTAAGTATATTATTCGAAAATGACCAAGTTCCTTGATGTTTCAAATTCAATAAGTCGACATCCTCTGTACTTGAAATCCTAAATACGTAGGTTCTTTCCGCTCCGGTGATTCGAAGAAAGTCAACCGTGTAATTATACTGTGTATATATATATATGGTCCGACAGGAAACTTTGCTGTTTTTTTTTTTGCAATTGACTCGTGTTTTGCTGTGTATAACGAAAACTCCAGAATATATATATATAGTATGCCATAGTTTTTTAATGTAAAAATAAGTTAGAAAAGTACATTCTACGAGCGCGCTAAATTCGAGTTTTCTATAAACGCAATTTTATAATTTAAAAGTTGCAATAGCTTATAATTTCTAGTTACTTCCAGATGCAATCTTTTATAAGCATATGATGTACATGTCATTTTCTGTCACATTAAAATCAATAAAAATTTCAAATTATTTTGATAATAATATCTCATATCTAAAATTTTAACATTGAGTACAAGATTCCTTATAAGTTTTTCTACCTTAATCAAAAAAAAAAAATACTATCAGAAAGTCAAATCAAATTTATATGAGTGTTTGAAGTGTTTGAAGTTGATATTTTTACTACATTGGATATTCACTCTAATTCTCATGTAGTAGTACCATGCATGTATTTTCTTATTTTTTTGAAATTCAAAAATGAATAACTGTAGATAATTGAAATTTACACCACATGTTAAATTTGACAAAATATTATGACTCGTTTTGAGCTGTTTACGGGCATTTTCAATTTTAAAATTTTCAATCTTATACTAATCTAGCTCTTAACTCGGATACTTTTTCTTAAGTTTTCAATTTCCTTTCTTCTCATATTACTCTAACGAATTATATTTCTTTAATGAACAAATAATTCTGTTACTTTATTAATTTCTATAAAACCCGATTCTATTGTGGGATTATTCGTGTAAACATTTCCTAATAAATAAATCTTAAAAAAATTTTCGATAGAAAAAATATCGGGTTTTATTGGGCGTCTACACTTTTTTATAAATTTAAAATAACAATTAAACCAAATTATTTTAATAGGTAATAATAATACGTAAAAAAAGATACTATGCTTACGTATACAGGAACACCACTCCACAAAAGACGGTATTCTCCTGGAATTCATTTACTACTCCCGCACTGAGGTCTAAGAAATAAGTATCCTGTGTGTTTTTAGCATGCCTATAATTAGTGTATCGATTTCGCAATTATGCTCATATATTTGTCTTCATAATCTTGTCACACTACTTATGTGTGCTAGTGGTGATGTCGCCATTTTCGGTTGATTATTCATTATTGTAATAAGTTAAATTATTTATTGCAATTATTGCTGAATGATGTACAATAATATTATAACACAATAAATTATAGTTCCAGGTACACAATTTAAAAATAATTTGGCAACTAGATTTAGTATTTTGGTACCTATTTTTTGATATCGGCTAGTACTAATACATCTATATTAAATATTATGTACATCATATTTTGATATTTTTTTTAATACTAGCTGTATGAATTTACTTTGAATACAACTGTCATACAATTATCGATTTATTCAACCGTATAGTATTAAAATATTTATACTAATGAGATTCTATTAAAATGTAATTCTAGTTTTTTGTTTTGAATTATGAATACTGATCTTAAGATTCAATTACTTATGTGAATTCGACCTACAACCGTTGTTGGGTACAGCTCTGGAATGATCGAAACTGTTCTCGATCATTCTATAGTTGCGCCTGTGTCACCGCGACAGCGCACGAATATTCTAGACGCGGCACCCCCCTCCCCTCTGGTGATCTATCCACGACGGTCCCTATATATACAGGCTACCGCGTCTGTCTAGTGGGCAGTGGCTAGTCACGGTTTTTATTGCGTTGGTAATTTCCGCGTAATTATTTCGTGATCGTGACATATATTTTACGTTGGTGGTTGCCGCGTAAAGCTTACTATCGGCTGTTGCAGTGGCGCAGTACGCGGTAAGAATTTGTTTTATTGTAATAATAATTTAGCAATTGTCTGTTATAATTTTGTATTATTATTTGCTATAGTTTTGTTAAAATATCCAAATATTGTATTGTAATTTCGTACAATTATATTCTTTGATGTATTATAAGTTACATTGACTTTCTTATAATTTTTCAATACATCATATTATTTCATTATACACATAATACAGTCCACTTATCTTAGTCAAAATATACACTTAAAGCGTGGTTACCCCGAACAACGAATTGCTCGAGACCTCGCTTACATTGTTTGGTCCTTCGGGCCGGATCTTTTGTTATCAATATGGCCCCATCAAAATTTTCGAAACAAGAATTAACGCGAGCTCGCGTCGCAAGGGACGCGGCGTTAAATTCAATACGGAAAATACATGCATTGGCATTGGAAGCGAACATGGACGAGCACAAACGACCGATATTTATCGCACGTCACGGGACATTAGAACGTGTGGTAAAGTCGTTTGAAGCGGAGCAAGGAAATGTTCTTTCGTCACTGGTTGAGTTAAACAGGTCTGAAGAATTTACAAGCTTAGACTTGGAAATTACCGAGATTATGGAAGA